GTGATCCCAAAGGTCTTTTCCAGCCTCAACAATTCCATGGAAAAGGGTGAGAAAAAAGGGAGAATGGGAAGGGAGATGGGGAAAAGGGGCTGAGGAGGTTTGGGGGATAATGGAGCAACAGAGGTGAGGGTTGGGAGGGAAATGAGGGATAAATTGGGAATGGGGGGAATAAAATGAGGGAAAAACGAGGGTCAGGAGAGGGTGAAATTAGGGATAAGTGAGGATGGATCCCCCAGATCTCCCCAGATTCCCTTTGGCTGTTTGTGATTTCACCCAAACCCAACGCCCCCATCCCAAAAAAAATTCCTGCTGAAAATCCCCATTTCTGAGCTCTTCTCCCTTTTAATCAAGTGCCCGAAAAATTAACCAAATGTCCCAAAATTAACCAAATGTCCCAAAATTAACCAAATGCCCCAAAATTCCTCCCACAGATCCCACAGTGGTTTGCCGGCAGCTTCCAGGTGAGTTCCTCATTTCCAGCCGAATTTTCTCTTTTTCCTTCTCACTTCCACGTTTCACCTGTGAGTTTTTTTTTCCGTTTTTGTCAGGAATTTGCTGTTTTTTCCTCCAAGGTCACTCCCTGGTCTACCCTCCCTCCTCCTCCTCGCTGTAATCCGGCGCTGGCCACACCGGTCAAGCACTGACCGCTGGCGTGGGCGGCGTTAATCCCCCGCCAGGAAATCCTGGGATAACGAGGGTTAATTAATGAATAAATGATTCCATCATCCTCCATCGATTCCGGGATAAACGGCCCAAAAAGGGAGGGTGGGGGGAAATGGGCGCTGAGTCACGGCCGCTCCGGGCGGCTCAAATTCTTGGAATTGGRAGGAAACCGATGGAGTTTGGCAATGATTATTTGGCAAAAAATYGTTAATTTGGGGAGGGGTTAATTAGGGGAGCAGTGAAGGAGGTCCGAGTTCTGTGGAGAGGGATCCTGAAGGATTTATTAATGGTTAAAAATCAGTTGAAGTATTTTTTTCCTTTTTGCAGCTGAGGAGATGAGATTGGGGAAAAAAATAATTTCAGGGATAAAAATAATAATTAGGGTAATTTCAGGGATAACTTTGGGGATTATAATAATAATAATTTTGGGGATAATTTCAGGGGTTTGTAGCAAATGTGATTTGAGAGGTGGGTGAAGGAGGGCAGARGGGGATGAGAAAAGGAAAATCACCTTTTCATGGTAAAAAAAAAACCAAAATCCAGAAAAGTAAATGAGCTTTTCCAGGACTGGAGCAGAGGGGATGAACGGGGAGAACGGAGACACTGGGAACGAATGAGGTTCCAAATTACAGCTGGAACAGCYCAAAATTCAACCCTGAGTTGTGGAAGGGACAAAACCGGGGAGAAAACGGACAAAATTGGGGAGAAAAGGGAATTTTGGCTGAATTTGGTTATTTCCAGACGCCTCTGGCAGCGACGCTTCCACAATTCCTGGGCCGAGGTTGGGTCCAAACAGCTCCATTTTTAAACCCTTGACTGAGGTGAAACCCGGGAAAATCGGGGTGAAATCCAGGAAAATCAGTGTATCTGCATCGTTCCAACTCAGCCTGTGTTGGAAAAGCCCCAAAATTCTCTGAAAACCGCCCAAAATGACCCGTTCCAGGCTGTTTTCCCTCCCAACCGTCCCGGCAGCAGCTGAGCCGTGTTCTCATCGAGCCCCGCCCTCCCTGGGGTTAATTAATCCCAAATGAAGCTCCAGAACGGCTCCATCCCAGCGCCAGGGTCGGTTTGGGGTGGAAAAATCCCAAAATAAATTAAAAAACCGGACAGAGAAAGGAGTTGAGAGCAGGGAAAGGTTGGACCAACCAGCACGAAATCAAACGGAAATTAAACCTGGGGATGATCGAGCCTAATTAAGCTCAGTTTGTTAATTACTCTACGGGTGGAAACCTCAGAAAATGGGTTCGCCCCCAAATTCTTGGAGTTTTCACCAGAAGTGGTTGGGTTTTAGGGACGTGGAGGGGGATGGGAAGGAAGAGGCRGGACAAGGGTTCGTTAACGAGCCWCGAGCTCGAGAATCTAATGACTCAWTAATTAGTCAGATCAGCTAATGACTCTGGTTAGGCAATGTCTCCGAGGAGGGACACGGGGGCAGGAGGGGCCGGGACCCCACCCTGGGGCCTCATTCTGGGYTCAGATTCCTCGGAATCAGGAAAATCAGTGAAATTATGGAATTAATTAACGAGGAGTCCGGAAAACGAAGCCCCCACGGTCCCACCCCGTCCCCGAGTCCCAGCGGTGGCAGCAGCAGCAGCAGCAGCAGCGGCGTTTCCAGCGGGGTTTTTGTCCATATTCCCTAAAATCCATCAGGAATTCCCTCAGCGTTCCCCTCCCGCCCCCAAAAATCCACAAAATTCCCGCCCGGAGCCGGAATCCACC